GTAAAATTCACCTAACGGATATTACGTGATTACCCCGCTAGTTCACGATGACTTGCAGGTGTATGAATGGCACTGATTCTTAGGGCAGAACAACCCCCTCTTGACTAGATTTCAGTAGATAGTCTTATGTGTGAGGTCCGTCTGAACAAGTTCGTTAGAAGAAGGAAGGCGGTGCCTACGGGGTTCGCTGCCGACGGACTGACAGTGGTGATCGTCTTTTACAGTTCAGTTCAGATAATCATCTGTTCCTAGTCAGCACTAAGGTCAAGCACAAAGAGAGACGACATTGCCTAACCTGGAGGCCTCCTTCACCGAATCAACGTTGGATTCAAGTAGACCACATAGCGATATGCTGTCGTCAGTAGAAGACTGTCGCTCCTTCCGACCACGCCCTGGTTCATGCACATTTATGCTTATGACTAAACGGACACAAAAAACTGTTAGTAACGAAGCAGTTACGTCCCTAACTTGATCAGGGCACTGAATCCCTACTTAACGAAGATATACCCAAACGCGTATCTGAGATCGATAGCAAGACACTTCCTGAAGAAGCCTGGCACAATATGTAGTTAACTGTACACATACCTGTAAAGGCTGTTAATAGCCTAAAACATCTGATACCTCGCTCGAACTGGTAAATGCAAGAAGAATGATTCCAACGAGATGCGAATATGATGAAGAGCGAAAGATGCTCAAACGCAAACTGACAGAAAGTTTTCACAATGATCATGAACAGTGGTGGGGCAACAAAAGCAAAAGAGAAGGAAAAGGCATCGGCGATAAGTAACACCCAGCAACTGCTAAGGCTTATCAGGGAAACAGGCGGCAAAAGGAGAATGATAATTGAGACAATCACCGAGAAAAATGGCACCCTAATTAGATCTTAGGATAGACGAGAGGAACTCTGGAAGGGACATTTTGAGGAGTAATTTAACTGGCCTACAGCCACGCTCAACTTACCAACCACCCAACAACTCTCTGAATGAGATATAAACAACAGTCCTCCGTCCTTAACTGGGGTCACAAAGGCTGTCTCTAGTCTGAAACGAGGCAAAGCAGCGGGACCTGATGGAATGGCTCCAGAGGTGTTTAAGGACGCTAAAGACAATTTACTGTCTGGGCTAAATAAGGCACTAGGCAACTTTTGGGAATCAGAAACAGTGCCATTGGACTGGTGTAAGTCATTGATTATCCAAGCATACAAGAAGGGACACAAGTCTTCCTGTGATAATCACAGGGGGATCTCCTTGACTAATATGGTATCTAAAGCTCCAGGCTTAGTAATCATACGTAGATTAAGTGGTGCTGCTCGGGAGAAACAAACACGAGAAAATAAGGCAGGCTTTAGACTAGGAAGAGGGTGCACTGATTATATTTTCACCCCGCGACAGTTTCTGGAACACAGGCATACCGGCGTCCAACGATTTCTATATATTTTGACCCGAAAGCGGCATTCGATTCCGTCTACTGAGAGGTGTTATGGCAATGTTTGACCGTGAAGGGAATGCCGAGAAAATATATTGCACTGACCAAGGCACTCTACTCGAATTCATGTAGCCAAGTAAGAGCTTACGGAGAGTTGTCATCTGAAGCGATAACCGATGGTGTCCGTCAGGAACGCCTACTGTCTCCATTTCTGTTTAATTCTATCATTGATGTAATAATGGACTTAACCCTAAGTGACTTCAGAGACTTCGGGATTGACTTGTTACCAGGAAATAATCTCGTTGACTTAGAATATGCAGACGATATAGGCCTGGCTCATATGTGAAGACGCTGACAAAATGCAGTCTTCTGAATATCTTGAGCAACAATCTTCGAATGTTTGGCATGCGATTCGCTCCTCTCAAATGTAAGATGATGTAACAGGACTGGTCTGAAGCGACTACTAGCTTTAAGATAGGGAGACAGGTGGTAGAGCATGTAGACCACTACACTTATTTAGGAAGTTGCATCAGCCAACGCCAACGGGTTGATCCCTGACGAAATCTCACAACGCATACAGAAGTCTCATTCAACACACACCAACTCACACCATCTCTTCCTTAAAAGACCTGATATTCGTCTCTCCACCAAAGGACGTGTGCACTGCACAGTAGCAGCAGTTTGCTTCATCCTCCTTCTTCCTCGCCGTGAGACATGGCCATTGAAAGTGGAAGACATGAAAAGGCCTCCTAGCTGCCTTTCATCATAGGTGTCTGCGTTCTGTCTCCCGTGCAAGATGCTGGTATAGTAGGGTGACTAATATTCAGGTTAGCCGTCCAGTGATAAACAACCAGGGGGGAATAAATCGATGAGGTTGTGAAGTTACACCAACTGAGATGGTTAGGAAAAGTGTTATACATGGATGCCTAGCCATCGATTGCCTTCATAGACTGGCAATAGTAGCTGACATACGTTCGATGAGGTTGGAAAAGAGATAGTGGCGGTCAAACCAAAACATGGCATTATCAATTAGTGAAATCCATAACAGTCAGTTTAAGTCGGCCACGCGGGGAACTGCAGACTACCTAACAAACTACGGTCTTCAGGATGGTGAGAACCAATGGAGGCTGGACACAGTGGGTGATGTGGCTCAAAATCGTCGTTGTCAATGAAACAGATGCAATCACTCTTTGTGATTTGTCATATGCAACAAAACTCTATTGTTCTATCATATCACTATTCTTTTTCCATCACACTACTGTTAATTATCTGTCTTTTGAACCTCCTTTTACTCTCTTCTCTTCTCTTGCTTTGTGTGTTATATGGAGAGTAGCAACTCGAACTGCTGCACATCTGTGAAAAGTTCTATGTTGAAACCAGTCAGTCAGTTTTCTTCTAAACTGTGGTAGCTGACAGCTGAAAACTACATAAAACAGAGAAAAGTCCGTTATTATTCACCATGCTGTAGGAGTATAGGTGTGGCTCAGTGGCTTACATACTTGACTTTTAGTAAATGGGCTTTAGTTTTAAATTTCTATCCGCCCGTTTTGAACTAGGCAATCATGTAATATTACCAACTCTGGAACAAGATGGCACTGAAAAGTGTCTAAACATGAAATTTTATTTCATAAACAGTGTTTCGTGCACTACTACTCACTCAAAATGATTCCGATAAGAAAACGTAGTAACGGTTTCACGACGTGGTTGACAAGTGCGAGTGTTAAAAGACGATTTACTTAGCGACAAATAATAGCATACAGTGACTTCGAGGTACCAAATATACACAGAATGCTGATGTTCAATGAGACTTTACGCACAAGAAGACATCAGTGATTGGATTTCAAAGCAGTTAGTGGAGTAGTTACTGCAACATATGCTTAACAAATAGCTATCTGCACATGTCCTGGTAGCGGGGAAAGATGGAAGAAACTTTGGGATGACTTTAACAACATTTATCCCTTACAGTTGGAAACTAGTTCCTTCGTGCTAAAATTAATTGCTGATTGCTCTGGAGTCGAGACATTTCTGCTAAAAAGTGGGCTTGAACGAAACAAATTTAAAGATTTTACGCAACATAATTCATACACACCTAACTTGATCCCGAGAACGGTAGATATGACAAAAACCCAAAAACGCAAACTAGACTGGAGTCATCGGATTTAGCTGAAGACCTGTTAAATAAGGTTTGTATGACAACCAAAATCAGTCGTAATGATCCAACTCTATTTAGTCCTTACCTGTTATATTTATAAATTGTAATTTCTTTGATCACTGTTATGATTACATCTTTCTTACCTTCTTCATACAAGCAGTGGTAATGTTATTTACACTTTTCTCTCCACACGTCTTTATTTTCATGTGAAATGTGGTAATTCCAATCAATAAAAAATTATACCTGCCAGAAGTACATTTTGAGAATTAGAGCCACTGACTGCAAAGGCAACCGGAAACTGAGTTCCTAGTTAGCTCTAACTCTTTAATAAGCTTATCGGCGCCCTTGATCACACATTGAAAATCTCCACCATATGATGTCTTCCGGACAATCAGAAATGTAACTGACTGGGCAATTTTATATATTAGCCTGTAGAATTTACCTACTATACGAGAGTTTGTGACACCAATCACGTGACTGAAAAAATTAAGTAAAGAGGTTTTGAATATGTGATTTGCAGTTTTATCGTTTAGTTGCACCTACACCACAGTCCTAAGACTCTAGTAACGAAAAAAGATATGCAGGTTGCAAAACAAACACAAAAGTTTGTTGTAGTTCAATGAGGTTTTAACAAAATATTTGGTTTGGCCTGTTTGTTTAATACAGGTGGTTTTCCAAGGTGCATCAGAAACGGATGAGTGCTGAGCTAACTATCAAAGCAAAGGACATTTTGAGGTGTTATTTATACACTTGTTAGTTCAGATGTTTAGCCAACCGCTGAAAACTATCAAGAGGGGACCATTAAGAATTGTCAAAATGTAACCCTATTTGCTTTATGTAAATGTGACAGAACAAATTTATTTATCAGTATACGAATAAATGAAGTTAATGACACAAAAAGCTTTAGAGCATATGCTCAAACTTCTTAATTAACAAGTGGTATCGAGTGAGTTACTTTCAATTCCGCTTATAAATCCCATATTACATTTCACAAACTTATCACAAATAGAGAACTAAATTATTCACCACATCACCTAAATGCCATACGCGTTTCTGTTAAGCCACTTCTTACTATCATGTCAAAATACCTTATGAATCCTTAGTCTTATGGGATAACGAACACAATTAAATGTCATCTGGAATGATTTCTAACTGCTCATATGGCCTATAGCGAACACGTCCATTTACTACGGTGTGAAAAAATAATTGTACTTGAGGTATTAATTCATGTTTCCAGTTATATTTAGGAACTAGGCTATAAACCTCAATTAATGTGACAATGGCTAGTGATGACACCTCATTAAGCATACCATAAGTCGTGAGTCAATTATTTGAAAGCATATAAAACAATGAACCACACTATCACAGAATGAATAAATTAGTGATATGAAGTATGAAATGCAAAGCAGAAATTAAAACGAACCTTGAAATGAACAAAATCAAGCGAACAGTCACTTATCAATGGACGATTCATATCCCAAGGTACATTGTTAACCATAGCAATAGCACTTTCTTTAACCAACATTTCAGATAAGTGTTTGGCACAGTCTAAAGGAGTTGATATGCCCTTAGTCATTTCCAAAGTTGATTTCCCCAGAATACCATCGTAAATAACTGTAACTTTTTCAACACGCGGTGACATGCATAGATTAATCTGCTGATTTTTGACTTTATTCCACATCAGTAAACAATCATTGTGTCGTGGAAGTCTCGACACTTCCACATCCGCACAAGTATTGTACAGTCGGATGACTTTACACAGGAATCTTCGCCTCAACATTTAGTGAGTTATAATTTAAGAAAACCTAAAAGTAGAGAATAATGATATATATTTTCACGCAGATGTGAAGGTAAGCATCTTAAACAAATATGTATTTGAGAATATGAGAAAGGTGAGTCTGGCAACGGAGTGCACGATACAGATTAACTCTAGGGTTTTGTTTGGAGCCAATTATCCGGAGCAGATCTACGAGGCACTGGCATAAGAGTCACACTTATTATGTGAGGGCAGACAATACTACTAAATTGTGAAAATGGACTCAAATCTGTGATATATTGGATGTAAGTCAATTGCTGAAGCCAGTGAGTCTTGTCTCTACTCCAGTGTTTATAAGAGAACGTCAAGGCTTAAATATTAGTTTGTTCATTAGATATATCACAGTGAAACAGTATTATTATTTACTAGATGACAGTTTCGGACAGAATTTATTATTGTTCATAATCATATCAATTATAATCACACAACTTCGAAACCTGAGTTTTATAGTTTCCTTTATGCCTTCCTATTTGTCGCTGGGGTTGAATGATTCCTATTACACGTATTTGTAGTTGATTCGATAGTTAAAGCTTCCGTTATCAATCTCCCTCCACCCTGTGACATTAGATTTACGAAAACTGCCATCTTATCCAATCTATCCTACTGTATGGTTGTGTGTGATTCCATGTAGTGCTATAGCTGAACTTTTCTCTAGATTTCTTATCTTATTCGGGTCAACTAATCTATATTTTGTTACGTTTCTGTGCTCCGCCAGTTTGACCACACCTGTTCTACCACTTTGACCTATGTATTTGATCTGACAATCATTACAGTAGGGTACTAGATAAACTAAATTGTTTTGTTTTAAACACTCCACAGGCAGGATCCTTTAACCGACAAAGTTTGTTTCTAATTGGGTTTGTGGGTTTGAATGCCTGCCTTGTTAAGAATTCTGCGTAAGGTTTCCGAAGTTCCTTCTTTGTATGGAATTACTGATGATGATTTAGATTCCTTATTGTTGCTGCTGTCATTATCTTGTGCATGTTTGACATGCATGTCATCATTAATATTACCATTATTATTATTATCACTACCATCATTATTTATTTTATTTTTACATTTCCCTACATACTCTTTGACTAACTTATGAGGGTAATTATTGAGTTTCAAAGCTTCTTTTGTATGCCCCACTTCCTATCTTAGATTTTCCTTGGTACTACTCAGATTTTGTGCTCTACTACTTAAATATTTCGCCAATCGTATCTTCACTGACATAGGATGGGATGGTCGGAATACTACCAAAGTGCCCAAGTTTTACACATAGAATACCGTCAAGGCTTATTATTAAAAAGTTTACATTTTAACCTTCAGTGAATAATTAGCACAGGGAATGAGGAATGCTCGACTTCACCACCACTGTGCAACCGAATTTTTCCATGACTACACAGTGAACCGTATCCATTATAAACAGGTTTTATATGATTTTCAAACACAAACCTGAGTACATAGGGTGGAGTGTGAACACACGGCTTATTAAATTACGATGTAACATCTAGTCACATAAGCGACCTATTCAACTAAAATTTAGGTATAGCAATATGATGGAACTTCTCAGCCATTTTGTTTACAAGGTAAACGAAATAATTTGGCATAACAAACGAACAGTCTGCATGCATGACGTATGAAAATCACCCGAAGAGGCTATGAAGTTACATAGATTGAGATGGTTAGGTCACGTGCTGCGCATGCCTAACCATCGTCTCCCCCGACGGGCATTACTAGCTGATATAGGTGCAGGTTGGAAAAGGGTAAGTGGCGGCCAAACAAAAACATGGCATCAATCCATAAAATCCTTGACAGTTAAACTGAGTCAGGTAGGGAGATGCAGACTTCCGGGTTGGGGCCATCGGGACTCTAAGAATCAATGGCTGGAGACAATAGGCGACATGGCTCAAAATCGTTGTCAATGGCGCAGATGTATTCAGTCTCTTTAACCTTCATACTCCTTTCTACCATTACTCATTCTGTTTCACTCTTATACTTGTCAAAACTCTATTGATTCTCTTCACTCATTTTCTTGTCTACCTTTGTGTGCTATTTGGAACGTGGCAACTCGAACTGGTGCACTTCGGTGCCAAGTTCTATGTTGAATCCAGACAGACAGACAGACATGAAGACAGCCAGAGATGCAAACTGATAAACGCTCTGGTTTTTTGGTAAAACGTAAAACAGTAGTTAGTTTTGGTGTTTCATGCTATATTATTGAATGAAGGACAGGTAAGTTATATATATATATATATATATATATATATATGACAGTAATGCAGTAATTAATCTATGGCTCTTAGCTTCCCCGAAATTCTTTTGTTCCCTAACACAGGAAAACTGCTCCACCACTAGAATACATTGATTAAGACCTCTGTTTGAGAATTACCGCAATTCTTTTTGAGGCGATCTTTAGATTTGTGCGTGGATAATTCGGTTAATTCAACCAAATCGGTTTCGACAGCTAAGCTATTCATATGATTAATGATAACTCTCTGAAATCCAGCATCTGCAAATGCCAAAGGATGAGCTTGAAATTCCGTTACAATGGACCATATATATAGCGTCTTAGTGGTGCTAACCATACTTGGGACATCATTACCAATATTTCTTCAATAGGTCATCGATATGGATTCACCATATAAAGGGGTCTGTCTGTCTGTCTGTCTGTTTTCGACATAGAACTTTGCACATATGTGCGGCAGTTCAAGTCGCCACAAACTATGTAGCATGCAAAGCAAGAGAAGGAAGTAGAAGAAATGCATAATATAGACAGTAAACAGTGGTGTGAGACAAAGGAATAGTAATAACGGAGAAAAAAAGTTTAATTGGAAATCATAAGTCACAAGGAGTGGATGCATCTGCGCCACTGAGAACGATTTTGAGCCATGTCGCCAATTGTTTCCAACCATTGGTTTTTACCATCCCGAGGGCCCCAACCAGGAAGTCTACATCTTCCTACGTGGCTTAGATTAACTGTTGTGGATTTCATTGATTGGTGCCATGTTTTGGTTTGACCGCCGCTAGCTCTTTTCCAGCCTGACCCTATATCAGCTAACATTGCCCGTCGAGGAAGGCGATGACTAGGCATACGTAGCACATGTCCTAACCATCTCAGTCGATGCAATTTCACAGTCTCGTCGATTGATTTCCCCGCCTTACCTAGCACTCGACGCCTAACCTCAATATTGCTCACCTTATTATTCCACTTCACGCGGGGTGACATGGAGGAGGTCGCGTGAAGAGATGAGAGATCGTGGGCAATCGCAGTCCAAGCTGAAGATGATAGAAGATAGGACAGAGAGCAGATGTGTTGCTGAAGCCTTATGTCCCACTCGGAACTCAAGGGAATAATAATAAAACAAAGGGGATTTTGTACACCTTAATCGTGACTGCCCGTAAAGGAAATACCAGTGAGGCAAATACGGCTTTAAGCACAGGGGAAGAATGATTTTCTCATCCTGCAGAAACCAGGAATAACCGGTGAAACTACTTTTCATAATATTACTACTACATTAAGCCCATTACACTCGGCAACCTTTTTTAATAATAGAATAGTTCCTACTTTCTAATAGGAATGGTAGTGAATTAAGCACTTATAATACATGTCCTAAAAGCTCCAATTGATACAGAACTTCAGATACAACGAAGATATAAAAAATTACCGACCTCAAAGTAAAGCACACGTTTGAATCGCCACTTCAGTTTCCAATATACAATATCTCTTTGGAGGTAATGTATGGATTTTACCAAGGCCATGGCAATTATGATTAGCAGACTTCCTTTCACTGATGAATTTTTCCGTTAGTTTGACGAGCATTAAACAGAAAGCGGCAGGGAAACAGTTTAAAGGGAATATATATAATAATCACATTATTATTGCTCATTTGGTTTCCGAGTGGAAGGTAAGGCTTTGAAAACACATCTCCACTTTTTCTGTTTGGTGCTGTCCTCTTCAACTGACTCCACTATTGCCCATAATCTCTCATCTCTTCCTTTCATGATCTCCTCCATGTCACCCTCGCACCGACGACCCACTCATCGCTTCCAATTTGGATACTACTCGAGCGATGGCCTGGGGTGCGATGTCATTCGACGCCCTCCTCAACGTAAACTCGATCCATCTCCATTTTCTCCCACGTATTTGTTGAGCATTCGGTTCTTGGTTGGTTTGCTCCTGGAGTTTCTTGACGCTAATTCTTTCTTTAAAATGGAGCCAGTGGAGGCAGTTGTTGTTAAAAGTTTGCAACCTGATGGAAATTCTTATCGTTACACACAGTGCAAGTTTCTGGCCAGAATAGAAGGACTGACTTCACATTTGTGTTGAAAATCTGAATCCTGTTACGTATGCTAAGTGATAACAGAACATTTCCAGGTTGATGAAGGCGAACGTATCTTGCCTTTCCGATTCTGCCTGGCTTTGACATCTTCATCCGTTCTGACTACCTCTGGTTGAAAAGATGCTTCCCAGATAAGTGAAGGAAGTGATCTCTGTTAAATCTCCCCCGTTGATGGTGATTGGTGCTCTTCGTTCGTTAGGCAGTTTCATCACCTCTGTCTTTTCTATTTTCACCTGGAGTTCTGTCTTCGCTGCCTCTCTAGCCAGGTTGTTAGTCTTCGCCCACAAGTCTTCGAGTTTTTGTGACATTAAACACAAATCATCTGCAAAATCCAGATCTTCTAGAGTCTTCTTACTGGTCGTCCAGCTTACTCCTATCTCCTCGCTCCTCACAGTCTGACGCATGATCCAGTCCACCACAATTAAAAATATCATCGCTGATAGTAGACAGGCCTATCTTATTCCTGCAGCCACTTCGAAGGCCACACTGGGTTTTCCATTGTCGATCACGTGACATGTGGCATTGTCATATAGCTAGCTGTTGAATAAGTTTAGTGGAGATTTGGTCAATGCATGTTATTATGTTGAAGCAGTTTCTAAATTACTTCTCGTTACGGTCAACGCTGTCTGTCGAAGGCCC